TCTTTCCACATGTGGAATGATGAGTAAAATGGCACATGTGAAACATCTAATGAAGATATGAGTTAATACAGGAAACATGTCCAAGATTTTTTCCGATCAGCAGGGGTCTGCAGGAATAGAAAGTTACTGGCATCTACCTGAAACTTTTACTATATGGTGATGTTAGTAAACTTCAGCTCTGGTGTTCAGATTAATATTCTTGACTTCTCTTTTGGATTACTTTATAGGTTTTTTAGCAGTTGCACCTACTTTCAGAGCTGGCTTTTCTGTTTAGGGGGCAACTCTGGAGGAAATAGGACAAGGTAAAATAAATACGTGTGTAATACTCACCAGAGAGGAGTTAACCTGAATTTATCTCTTCAAGTAAAAGCAAATACAGATAGTTCTTAGTTACCTGGTAATGCTAGTCATCTTTATACAGTGCTGCATGAATCAGAACAACAAACCCATATCAAATGTAACATCCTAAAAAGATCAAAACATTTCTCCTTGGCTTTACAAGTCAGTTTCACATGTAGAGAAAAACTTGATTTTGTAATTAATAGTGTATAAATGGTACTAACCCTTCTCCATCTGGTGCAGACTTGAACTCACTCTGAACTTGTTCTCCTGTGCTGTTGTGAACTTTTAAAAATAAGGATGTGTTAATGGTGAGGGTTCAGCTGGATAAGCACCTTAGGTTATGTGAGGAACATTCAGTTTCTGTGTTATCTAAAGGACTCAATGCACTGTACTGCAGAGGTACAAAACACCTGAGCAACACTGTATGTACCTGGGTGACTTCTACAGGCAAAATGTCTAAAAGATTACTTATACGTATGCTGGCATAAAGCTGCTTTTTAATACTGAAGTGTCCTACATATAATGTCTGAGCACTGCCTGCAGAATCCGATCCTAAGGGTTAATGGGTAACTTACACAATATATTTCAGATATCAGCTTAGGTGTGAATCAAACCATGTAAATCATGGACATGAAAGGGCTGTCTATCTGACCCGCTTAACTAGAAGCTGTTCTTTCTGGATTCCTTATATACACCATGACAGAAAAGAAACTTCCACAGAAGTTAATCCAGAGAAGCTATATTTAATTTCTAACTGTTGTGGACATTCCTTCTAAGGGTGTAAACAATAGGTTTGATAATAAATGCATCTCTTTCTTTAAAAAGTTACCTCTTGAAATCCAAAGAGCTGGTTCTGTTTCCAGGCTGATTCTCTCACAGACTCGTCATCACTGAGGGATGCAAACACAGAGTTCTCTGGTAAGTGATTTCTCGTCCTGTACTTTTTTCTTTCTGAATTAAAGTCATTACTGGTGGCTTTTTTGTCTTTCAATTTGTATTTTCTCTGAAATGCTTCCCACTGTTGAAATCACTGCACTTATTTCTGAACCTGAGATTTAACACCAATAATCTGTTTTTCACAAAATTCATTTATGCTGAAATGCAAATTTAATATGTGAGATGATTGATAGAAGACAGTGCTGCTGCTTTGTAAAACAGAAGGTGTTATGGATCAGTGTCTTTGATAAAATAGTCTTTGGTAAAACATGGGGCACTCACACCTGCTAACTTCAGCTCAGGGAAGACAGTAACTTCCTCTGTAGGCAGTGGAAGGAGACAAGAGCTTTCAAAGGGCAAGTCAGAGCAACAGCTTAGCTTCAGGGACTCAAAACTGTCCCATGAAGCAGACTTTCTCCGTACTTTCTATAGGCAGATGAACAGTGGTACGAAGGGCTTACCTGAGCATAAGTTTATTCACATTATTCACAACTATTTTCACTGGGAAAATTTTAGTCCTCAGTAATACTGGTTAGAATTTTGCTTTCATGTCCTCTTATGATCTCTCCAATTCAGCAGCATCTCTGAAGCTATCACTAGTTAAGGGATTGATAATTTCTATGGCAGTCACCTTTTTTGTCTTGAATAGTTCTGCACATTCTCCTTTAAGTTAATCCACTGATCATGGTGAAAAGCTGAAGTCTCTAAAATGAAAAAAAAAAGTAACCTTTGATTTTAAAATGCATAAATGTAATTTGGAAACAAATGCTTCTGAGAACTTTAAAGAATAATAATTCAATCTAAAATTAAGTTACTGCATCCTGAAGATTCATGACATTTTTTCGGCCAGGGCAGGCACATCTCTGGTTATAAAAACATATATCTTTAAAAAGAGAATAAAACCAAGAATATATGTCCTTAAAATACTGTCACTCACCGATTTTTTCAAGGTTTGCAGATTTTCCTTTCCTTTCAGAGGGTATGAAGTAGTGCTGTCCCTCCTGACAGTCCTGCAGGGGAATGTTATGAAGTCCACTGCTTTTCTCATAGTTTGCACTGGAGACATTACTGCTTCTAGGTAAAACCTGTTCTGGAGCTGTGTAAATGCCTTCAAGGTGGCTGTCTGCAGAACTTTTTATTTCATTGATTGCAGGGTAAGCCTCTCTAGCATAATAAGGATAATTTTTGTTGGTCATTTCCTTTCTATCATCAGGATCTGTGAAAAACATGTCAGTGCTGCATTGGTTAACAAAAGGATTAAAATGCTTTGTGGGAGGATTAATATGGATTGGTTGGCTCTCATCTTCAAACAGTGCCATAAAGGAACAATCACTTCCATCTTGGTTAGCTTTCGGTTCTGAATTTTCTTTCACAACATCAAACAATGCTTCTTTTATTCCTTCACTGTTTTCTGATTCATTTCTGGTTATTATCACTGGATTTTTCCTGGAAAAATTCATATAGTCTAGCCTGGGGATGACATGGAGGGGTAGTAGAAAAGAACAAACAGTCTGTTCAGCACATAAGTAAGCAAAATACTGACTGTTAACATGACAAATTATAACTTGATGATAAAAATCTCAAAGACTTTATTGCCCATCACACTTTTGTCCCCAATGTATATTATTTCAACTGATAAACTTCCCTGTACTTTATTTCCACTTTATAGTAAGGTTGATTTAAAAGGGGTTCTGTTTCATGATGTCTCCAAACACGGAGACAAGGAGCACATCTTTGTGAGTACGGAACTGTGATTATAAAATCAGCCACAGTATGTCACTGCTGCTCCACCAGCTGACCAAAGGCGGCCACTTTGGGAAAAAAGAAAGAAAAGAGGAAGATAACTTCTTCCATTCATAGAAGTAGTTTGTTCTTCAAGACTACAGTTCTCTCCTGTATTGGAAGCCTATGATAAACTCTGTGTACTGCTTGATTCCTGGTCTCCTTAGCAAGTGACTTCCACTTGTACTTGAAGGCAGTAATCCTAATTCAGCACAGATTTTTCTGTTCCTGTGCCAGGAGGCCAGTCAGACATGCTGTTTTGCCCTCTCCTGATAGAAGTGGTTTGGAAGATGCTGACATAGTATCATTAGCACAAAAGCTATCATGCTTTCACTGACTTGGCTCCTAACACTTCACTGCTTTTTTCTAGGCTTGATCTGGTGACTGACCTTTCAGAAAACCTGAGTAAACCTGAAGCACAGAAAATTGGCAAAGGCCATTCAAAAAATGTCCTTTTCCATTCAAAAAATGTCCTTTCCTTAAAATAAATGGAGCAATGCTATTAATGGAACTTGAAAACTGAAATACAGTACAGAAAACTCTTACTGGAGAAAAAAAATCTGTAATGGTTTGATCAGCAAATACTTGGAACTGGATGAAGATCGTAGAGAATTGAAATGAGAAAATGGTGTCCTCTACTTAAAAAAACTCTCCAGAACAGTTTTAAATGCTAAACACACTAGAGTTTGTTTCTGGAGAAACCTGGCTAGACCCATGTGAGGAAGGTAAAACCGTTTTGAGAAGCAATTCAGAGACTCCTTCTTTACTCCACCTGAACATTTTGTAAGGCTAAGTAAAAGTTGGTAGCAGATGAGGAAATATGACATTTAAAATTTTTAGTTAAGATTTATTGATCGTGAGGTGCCGCAGTTCTCAGATGTATGCATACTGGTGACATCATTGCTGTTACAATCACATACAACTGCGTTACAATCACGTAAACAACTGTGTAAACTTGTACTCTACTTTTCATATACAATGAAGGAAACTCCCTTCCCAGGAGAACTATGAGCTCTAGAGATAGAAGAATTTATGGCCACAATGGATGAAAACAAATCAAGGACAATACAAAGAAATGGATTTGAAGAACAGCTGGAAAGATGTTGCTAGTGAGCCATGAATGGGCAGAGGAGTAAAAGAAGTGGCATAAGCAGATTAAGTGCAGGCCTGAGGGCATGGGGAGGTGTAGGTGAGATGAGGTTATATAGGGCTTTAATGTAAAGATATTCATCGGGAATTCATCAAGATACATACACAGCAAGGTGAATGTTATCCTCATTTCAGGTTTTGCTGGAGAAAGGGAGAAAGTTAAGGTGTCTAAGACTGGAAGCTGATGCATTCATCTAGATGTCATGTGATCAGTAAGTTTATCAGTTACTTGAGTCCCCAGGCAAAAAGGCTGTAGGTACTTCAGAACAGCAAAATAACATATGGCCTTTTTATGGCTCTATCCAGCCAAAGCTGGAGGCTGACAGGAACTTTCAACCAGACAGCAGCCTTACAGAATAAAAAGAGTAAAGAAAAATTAGCGCTGTAAGACCCCTAGATCCCAGGCAAAAGGCCCCAGAAAGAAACTGAAATAAAATGTTCAGTATAAATGAGCCTGGCCCTAAATCCTCTGTGATTAAAAAGAGTTTTAATCAGCACATACAAAAAGAAATGTATTCTAGATTTCTACTCAATCTTTCAGAAACAAGGTGTGTTTTCTCATAAAAGTATTATTGAACCCAATTATTAAAAAAAAAAAGCTATAGTAGGATCACATATGAAAAAATAAAATGCTGTGTTCATAAATGCTGTGTTCATGGACTCCCGTATATAAACAATGTAGGTGGAGAAGTTGCTCAATTGCTACAGCATAAAGGTCACCCACAACAACAGTGGCTAGAACTAATGAGAACTGGGGCAGCTTCCCTGCCTGTGGCTTCTTAACAAATCTGTGCTTCTTGCTCGGGGTGAATTCTGTAACACCATCACGTTTGTGACGTTGCAAAAAATAGCTCACAGTGTCAAGTGCCTACCTAAAATTCACATTTTTCTACTTCTAGCAAATTTAAATAGCTTGGTATGTTCAGTCTTTACATTTCATTTCAATTTCTATTTGAAAAGCACCAAAATCAGTGAAAAATCAACTAGCAATAATTTTCAGATTATTTTAGTATTTTTCTTACTTAAACTTGATAGTTATTTCTCTCTTTAATGTAAAATCACTGCCTACCTATGCAACGGCTTTAACAGTTCCCGAGGCACTGTATCAGACTTCCTGAAAACAGACTGGCTTGGAGGTTTTGTAAACCAAGAGTCTTGATCAGAACTATTTCCTGGCTGAGAAAACAGTAAAAGCTGTCAACCTCTGAATATGTATAGTAGTTATAGCATTTAAAGCTTTAAAGTTGGGTTTGCAAACAATATACTGTTTACTTCTTTTATCTTTACAGTAGAAGCCCAAATCTCCTTACAGCCTGAATATGGAATAACTCATACTTTTCCATATTTATGTATCACTGTTAATATGCAAAATGTCCTTTGAGCACCCCATCCTCCCATGGTATGAACAAGTTTGATAGACTATAACAAGCTGAAGATCCACTGAAGGTAACATCATTATGGCAAGCTGTTGTCTGGAAGGGACCTCAAGAGGTGTTTAGTCCAACCTGCTCAAAGTAGGGCCAGCTTCAAGGTTCATCCAGATTGTTCAGGACCAAGATTCCACAACCTGTCTGAATGTTTTCTTTCTGGTACTTAGCTACTTTTGTGACAATATTTTTTTCCCATACAAACAGAATTTCCACTGTTGAAAATCGTGACTTTTACTTCTTGCCCTTTTGCTGACTACCTTTGCCTCTGTCTTGTTTGTAAGACTGTTCAGACTGTGGAAGACAGCAGTTAGTCCACCCCACATCTCCATAGCCTTGTCTTGCCCAGGCCACATAAGGCCTCTTTGCTCAGTGTCTCCACAGTTACCATGTGCTCCAATCCCCTAAAAATTTCTGTGGCACTTCTTTGGTTTTGCTACAGTTTGTTGATCTCTTTCTTGTACCGGGGGTTCCAAAACTGGACACAGTATTTCAGATGTGTTCTCACAGATGCTGCTCAGAGGGAAACTTGACTATGACTGCTGCTTATGCTCTTTCTAATACAGCCCTCTATGTAGTTGACCTTTCCTGCTACAAGGGCACACTGCTGACTCATGGACAACTTTCTGCCCAGCAGCACTGTCAGGCCCTTCCCTGCAAAACTGCTGCCTACTCAATCAGTCCCCTAATGTGTGGGGTATTTCTCCCAAGGTTTGTATTTCTCTGTGTTAAACTCCATGATGTTCATGGTGGCCATCTGCTTGTCAAGACCCCACTGAGCAGCAGCCCTGCTAACGTAATGATCACTCTGCCAATTTGGTGTCAGGCATGAACCTTTTATGGTGCTGAAGGTGCACTCTGTCCTGCTGTACAAGTCTCTAATAAAGAAGTACTGGACTTGGTACTAATCTCTGGGGATCCCTGCCATTACTAACCTGTTGCCAATTAGACTTCAGCAAATAGACAACTACTTTGAGCATGATGGTAGCAGGCAGTTTTTTACCAATCTTATTATCCACTCATCTTGTTCATACCTCCCCACTTTGGCTACTAGAATCCCATGAGAAGCATTGTTAAAAGCCTTCCTAAAGACAAAGCAAATATCTGCTGCTCTCCCTTATGCATAGAGCTAGTAATTTCATCACAGAAGTCAATCAGGTTCAACAGGCACAGTATGGCCTTGGTAAATCTATGACAGCTGTTCATAGTCACCTTCTTGCTCTTCATGTACCTTGGAATTGCCTCCGGGAGGTCTAGCTCCATAATCCTTTCAGGGACAGAGATGAATACTGTAAGAACTATATTACTCACTGCATGATTACAAATTAGGTCACGGTGATCACCTGGGATTATGCTATACCCAGTTACACTAACTGTACAGTTAAGAAAGCTGTATTTGTAACAGTAATACATCACAGCTTTCTTGAAGCAACTTTACAAGCCAGAAACAAAAGCAAGCTAGTTGTATGTGACTATCTCTCTTTCTGCAGGTATTAGTGATACTGGAAGCTCAGTGGACAAAATCTCAAGTTATTTCATAACAATAAAAGAACTATATTTCTATATATGAAATACTCATTGCCACCAGCCTACAAGAAATGATTATTAATTATAATTATCTTCACCACTACATTAATTTTACACCCCAAACAAATGAAAGTTAGTCTAAAATAATTCTGTGGAAATGACAAAATATTCATCAAACCTGGGTTTGCAAATTCTCTTCATAGGTCTCTTCCCAAGTGTTGCCTAGTAGGTTTGTGTTGAAATTCTCTTCTGAAAGCTGTGTACAATTAGAGGACCAACAGACAGAAGAGGACAATGGACAGGCATCAAAAGCACTTGCTGTGTTGTCTTCACATTCCATACTAGAGTCAGCATATGTTAATTCTGTTACTTGTGATAACTAGAGAAAACACAGCAGAGAGACATTTCATTTACCTAAAAATGTTTTGATGTCAGCATAAAGTTCAAAGTAATCAAACCTTTCTATATATTCTACATGTCTGCACATATACAGCAGCAAGAGAAGAGTTTCATGTATTCTGATATGATTTTTTCATTAAAATCAAGCAGTAACAAGGGTTTATTTCAGGGAAACACCTAAGTGCCTACTTTAAGTTGAAGCATGCACACAAATGTTATCCTGAGGACAGATGGGTATCAATACATTTTTAGCACTAGATGTGTAGGTAAGTGATCTGCAGACTTGCTTCCTAAATAGTAAAATGAAAAATAATTTACTCCATTGAAGAGACAGCTCCAACATGTTGTGATACCAACAATGCTATTTCAAGCAGATCAGAACACAAGTAGAAATTTGAAGGCAAAACTCATGAAATGTCACTGTATCTGCAGCTACATAGCTACCCAAACTAAGTGTTTTGTAACAGAATTACTAACTTATGATTTTGGGGTTGATTTTGGTTTTTTTTGTTTAGTTGGGGTTTTTATGCAACAGTGGAACAGGTCTTAAAAAAACCCACCTAAAATTCATCTAGAGAATGTTTTTTATTGTAACCTCAATGAGTGCATGAACTTCGCAATTGCACCCACTAAGACTTGTACTTAAGCTCCTCTTAAAGATTCACTTCTGTCTATGCTGCTCACATTTCATCGCTTCACATTTCTGCATATTGTTTTTAATTTTCTGCTGTTGGCCTCAGTCTCTTTCCCACAATCTCTGTCCTTTGTGACTAGCTTGGAGCACAGAGGTGAGCTTATCAATAAATATATAAGAAATGGCAGGAATGAATATAAAACATGACTGGCAAATAACATATCAATATAGCCTTAAGAAGACTTCACATTTCAGCATCCATGAGATTGGGTCACTCTTTGAAAAATCACTTAAAAATACAGTCATTGCTGCACATTTTTAGCTTTACATTAGTGAGAATGATAAACTTACATTATGCTGGTATTTTATTTTCTCAGAGAGATGCTGCCTTCTGCTGTCCAAAACTTGCTTTTGTAACCTGTAAAATGAATAAAAACAGCTTATGAAATACAAGATATATGGTCTACAAGATTAAAACCATTGAGTATTAATTTCAAAATAATATAAGAATATTTTCCCACATATCTTAAACAGGCCTGATTCTTAAGCAGTTATGAGCAGTCAGTGTGAGAGTCAGTCACTTTAGGGTTTCTGAAGTTGGATGGGAAAACAGTGTAAGTGGAGAAGGCTGTTTGAATAGCCAGCTCTGTGAGATAAACTTAGTGTACATACTTGACATTAAGTAAAGAAATATTCTTTTTAAATCTCTCAGCTTTGTGCAGTTTTTTATTTAGAATACATTTATTTACTCTCTCATAATAAAAGTATCACAGGAATGTCAGGAGTGATTGTGAAACTTCCTCATCTTAGTCTGCTAAATTTATGTTTACTTAATACCTCAGATATAAGACCAACAAGAAATACCTTTTCCAGAACTTCATTATAACTTAACTATTGCCTGTTTTATAAGAGTACCTGTTCTGGATGTCATCTAAGTTAGGCATACGTTGTGTACGTGATGGTGACAAGGGAAGCTCTATGCTGTGCCTCCTGACAGGTATTTTTACATCTTCAGTGATATCAATGTGGACTGGCTTCCTCATGTTCACTGCAATGAAAGTATCTGGAATGTCAGTGCTGGTCTTGGAGAAAATTTTGGGCTTTCTAAATTTTCATTAAAATACAAAAGCTGTTGTTTTAGATTATCAATTTAAAGCCATATTTTTGCTTGCTTTCTTAGTAGCAATGCAAGAGTTCTATTCTAAATGGCATTATAAAATGATTTATAGTCAGCTGCTGTGTGTAGACAAGCTTTGTTGGCCTCCTCAGTCACCTTCTAATCTTCCTGAGCACACAACAAATTCTTCACAAGCTGGTTTATGAATGTGTCACAACGGATAAGAATCATAGACTCATTTAGGTTGGAAAAGACCTTTAAGATCATCATATTCAACCCTAAACCTAACACTGACAAGTCCAACCCTAAACTGTGTCCCTAAGTACCACAGTTACAAAGAGTTACGAATCAAGTTGTAGAGATGATTTTTAGGAGCTTAGTTATGGATTTAAGGAAGATACTCTGGGTAGAACTGACAGACTATTCCAAATGCCCCCCCCAAAGTTATGAAAAAGGAAGTGGAATACAAATGAATCCATTCAATGGCAAAGGGAAAAAGAAGTGGATTTAGGGTAAAATTGATGAATGGAATGAGGCAGGTGCACAAGTATGCAAGGATTTAAAGGTGAAGTAGGCAGTAGCCCAGGTTGTTTGATTCCTCTTATGTACTGAATTTTTATTCAATCGTAATTTTGTATTTACTTACAACTGTTTATTTTAAAAATAACAGAACACTTATTTGAGCATTGAGTTTCAAGTGGAAGAACAAGAGTTAACATAACAGCAGTAATAGTTATGGACAACTGATTCTGTCAGCAGTGAAGTCAGAATGCTGTTGCACTAAACTCACCAGTGTTGTCTTTTTTGGTTGATATCTGGTTAACAACATATAGATTGAGGAGATCTAAACTGACTGCTGAACTTTTAGGAGATGACACTCCCAGAAGCTTCATCTTGGCTTTAAGTTTCTTCTTTTCAAAGAATTCCTAATTTTTTTGAGAGAGAGAATAACTTCTTTGACAGAAGCTTCAAAAACACATTAGCAGCATATATAATCCTTTTGAAATTAGCATGCAAGACTTAGCAAACATTCCTAGCAATAAAAGCACATGATTAAATCTCTGAATTCTCACACCCTGCCTACTGTTATTTAGTTTATTTTTATTACCTTGAAAGACTGCAAGCATGATTTGATCATATTCAAATCACTGTTTGCTTGATGCCAAAAACTTGCTCCTTAAACACGCACACCTCAAACTTCGTGTATGATCATTAAAACCATTTCTTTAAAATAAAAGACATACCAAAATGAGACAAGGAAAAAGTTGGAAAAGAATTAAACTTGGGCTTTTTAGGCATCTTTAAGCTTATAGGCAAATAAATCAGCAAGATTCCGTACACACAGCCATCTCTAATGACACAAAGAGTTTACTGTCTGCAAATTTGTCTTTCTTGACATAGAAAATAGTCTTGTGCCAAAAAAAAACATAAATAAGGAAAAAGTAAAGAAGAAAAATCTGTGTGACTGGGACTTCAGCAAGGCTTTTTGTTACAAGGAATAAATAGAGATGATTGACACTTTGAGTGTATCAGGCAGATGATTGTAGAAACTTTAGGAAACAAAAATCTCCATTTTATAGGAGACTATTAATAATCATCCTACAACCAGTAGCATCAAGCACAGCAGATGAATAAATAAAACCAGTAAGATTTCTTTATTTTAATCACAAGGAAGATATTAAAAAACGAAGGCTACGCCAAAACACAAAATAGAATCAGCTCTTCCTCTGAAATGTAATTTCTCTCACTATTGTGGGTTACATGTAACTAATATACCCAACATGTCCGTTGGTAACTATTTTCCAGTATATTTTATTGTACCACCATCTTTAGCACTCTAAGATGTTACCATCTGTGGAAAATACCTGTTCTTCAATTAAGAAGAATATTTGCAGTACGGTAAATTCAGTCTATGTAACACTGAATTCATAGTGAAGTCAACATGTCAAAATTCACATTGCTTTGGAGTTCACACCACCAAAATATATCCATGCCCCTTCGGTGTCCCAGATCTTTTCTACCCGTTACCTCTAATTTACTAAATTACTATTAACTGTGTAATTGCCACTGTATTTAGAAATATAGTAATTACAAAATTACTAAAACCAGTCCTATCTTACTTGTTTTCTCTCCTACACTGAAGCAAGTTGCATAGCTGTAATGTAACTTTTGTGGTTCAGACAAAAAAATCCCTGAGAAAACAGATCTTTTGAGAACTCACAGGCCTCCAGGAAACTGGGAAAGTTATGGGGACAACAAGCTGCTGGTTGCTCCTGCGTTTCCTTAGGTAAGGGTTTTCGTTTATAGAATTGTCTCCATACTATCAGCCTGTTTTTCCTCCTCCTGTATATGCCAATGCATCCGCCCTGGTTCACAGTGATGGAGCTTCCCTATACTCTTTTTTCGCTGTTACTGGGGAGGAAACTGACATCTTACTATGGTTATAACTGCTTTCTTTTACTGTTTTCTTCCTCCTCCCTGTTTGAAATATCTTCTGCCATGCCATGGATAAATTTGATTCTATTACTTCACTTTCAGATTCAAAATACAAATAAGCTGGCCTACTTTTGCAAATGCCAAATAAAGTACTCCAATGAGTCTAACATTCTTTTAAGTAGCCCAGAAAAATAGCTGTGTACATGTGTAAGTATTAGGCTAGCTGACTACGTGGTTGTCACTGTCAGGCTTCAAGCAATCCCATATGCCAACACATACCAACAAAATACAGTAACAGAAGTAATTCAGTAAAACTTAAATTGGGTGAATTAATTCATTCATGCCTTCTCCTATTCCCTCCTCTCCCTGCTGGAATTCAGTGTAGTAATCCTAGAACAAGACTCCTGTCCTGAAAGGTACATGCAGTCAGGCAAACACATTACAATTGTAATGCTATAGCTTTGAGTCTCACTCCGAATGCTTTGAAAGTTTTTGCCTAAATGAATCAACTAAAGCATTTATGTAACAATGTGAAGTCTAAAATGTCTAGGACTGTTTACCTTTTGCTTTCTCCTTTCCTGCTTTAGTATGATTCTGCTCCTGAAAGATGCAAATAAATCTTGTTTTAATTGTAAAAGTATAATCCCGAGTCATGGCTTGAATTTCTCATCAATGGTATTGAGAATTTAGCACACAAATATGTTATGTTATGTTATGTTATGTTATGTTATGTTATGTTATGTTATGTTATGTTATGTTGTTATGTTATGTTATGTTATGTTATGATGGACCAAACCTTCAGGTAGTAAAGTCAACAAAAGTCTGTTGAAGTCACTTTGATCCTGGTTTACTCAGGTAAGTATAGGACCAATTTCTTAAAACATTATAAGAAATCCTTGTCAGTATATTAATTTCTCCTGATTTTCTTTGTCATGCTGCAACATAGTTGCAAAACCATATCAGCAAAGGAAACAAAGGAGCACAATAAAAGTTTCTACCTTTTGAGACTTCACAGAATATTGTAAACATTTTACAGAAAAGGTAAGAAAAATTGATTGTCACTACAAGTTTTATCAAGCTGCTGTTGTTTGTGCAACATAGGAGACAGTTACACCTTACACTACATTTCTCACTTGTTAAACATGGTCCTAAATGAATTGCGTACAGGAGATGTTGCATAAAACTGGAGCTCTGGGTAACTGCTGCGAGCAGGGTGAGCACGGCTGCAGACCTTGGGTCAGTAAGATTAGCACTGTTTTTTGAGAGTTAGAAATAAGGGTTATTCCCTTGGAATTACTTTTTTTTTTCCTACTGTGCTTAAAGTTAAGACACACTTTCTAAACACATACACATAACATTTACCCTTGCAGTAGGCAGAAGCCACAGTAATGAATGGCTTTTCTGCCACGTAAAATACAAATCCCAGACTCTCTGTGGAATCCCGGCAGGTGATTCATGGCAGCAGAAAGCAGCAGGGTGATCTGCTCTTTGCTGGGTACAATACTCCTACACACTGCTTTCCCTTACGGAGTAGTACGATAGGTGTTTAGGATGAAGTTGGGGTGTTCAGGCTTTTTTTCAAACTTGAAGCTGTCCCTTCCACCTGCTTCACACTGGCAAATGTCAGAAACTTCATTATGCTGGGACAGCTTCCAGATGGGTAAGGCATCCTTTTAGCTTGACTCTGCAGTCAGGGTGACTATAGAGCTGTGTTTCACGAAGCTACTTTCAATGGCTGACAAAATCTGCAGGGTTTACATTTCTAGTAGATAGGCACCTAAAGAGGCTGAATATTAACCTTTAATGTTACAACTCAGTGATTAGTTTACTATTTCAGTGAATCTCAACAACTATACATCTTTATCCCAATGGTAGTCACTGCCTTTCGTGAGGACATTGAGGACAGGCCCATCTGTGGAGACATAGGATCAAACGTGACCCACCCTGCCAGGTCTGGGAGGACATCTGCACCTCGTCACACAGACTGGTTCAGGAGGGCACACCGGGGCTGTCACACCCACCAT